AGCAGTTACGCATATTTGGTGGCTCTGTTTCTGGGGTTGCTACTCTTGCCCATTGATTGTCCTGATTACTGTAGCTATATAATAAGTCTTGAAATCAGGTAGAGTGAGTCTTCTTACTTTATTCTTTCCCAAAATTGTTTTGCTATTCTTGCACCTGTGACTTTCCATATAAATATTAGAATAAATCTACTCAAGTCTACAAAATACCTTCTGAGATTTTGATAGGAATTATAGTCAAATTACAGATTAATTTGAGGAGAATTGACTTCTTTACTATATTGGGTCTTCCAATCCATAAACACATGGTATGTCTCTTCATTTATTTAGGTCATCTTTCTTTTCTTTTTTTGAGACAGAGTCTCACTCTGTCACCCAGGCTGGAGTGCAGTAGTGCAATCTTGGCTCACTGCAACCTCTGCCTCCTGGGTTCAAGCCATTCTTCTGCCTCAGCCTCCCAAGAGATAGCTGAGTCTACAGGTGTGTGCCACCACGCCCAGCTAATTTTTGTATTTTTAGTAGAGATGGGGTTTTACTGTGTTGGCCACGCTGGTCTCGAACGCCTGACCTCAGGTGATCAGCCCGCCTCAGCCTCCCCAAGGGCTGGGATTACAGGCATGTGCCACTGCGCCCAGCCTATTTTCGTTTTCATTATCATTTTTGTAATCTTCAACATATAGAGCCTGCGTGTATTTTATGAAGTTAATACCTAAGTATTATATTTCGTTTGGAGTAACTGTAAATGGTATCACGTTTTTAATTTCGGCATTCACATGTTCATTATTAATATATTGTTTTGCTGACTTTGCATCCTGTGACCATGCTGACCTCACTTATTAGTTCCAGGAAGTTTGTTTGTTTTTATAAATTTCTTGGGATTTTCTGTGTACATAATCGTGTTATTTGCAAACAGGGGCAGTTTTATTTCTTTTTTTTTTTCCCATTCTGTGTACCTTTTCCCTCCCTCCCTCCCTCCCTCCCTCCCTCCCTCCCTCCCTCCTTCCTTCCTTCCTCCTTCATTACCGTGGATAGGACTTTCAGTGCTGTGTTAAGCACGAGCAGTGAGAGGAGACATCTTTCCCTGGTTCCAAGTCAGTCTTTCACGGTGAAGTAAGATATTAGCTGTAGAGTTTTGTTTTGTTTTTAAACATACTACTTGTAATCAAATTGAGGAAGTTCTCGATTCCAGTTTGCTGTGGGTTTTTATCATGACTGAGTGTTGGGTTTTGTCAGATGCCTTCTCTGCATCAATCGATGTAAATTGTATGATCTTTCTTCTTCGGCCTGTTGATATACTGGATTACACTGATTGATTGTCAAATGTTGAGCCAGCCTTGCTTGCCGGGAATAAATTCCACTTGATCAGGGTGTATGATTATTTTTACACATTGTTGGATTCAGTTTGCTGACACTTTCTGGAAGACTTTTGTATCTAAATTCATAGGAAACATTTCTCTGTAGTTTTCTTTTTTGTCTGTTTTTTCATCAGGTTAATAGTAGCCTCACACAATGAGTTGAGAAGTGCCTGCTCCTGTTCTGTTTCTAGAAGAGATTGTGTAAAGAAATCTTACATTAACAAAATGCTGGCAACTAATTTCAATTATTTTTAAGCACCTTGTGGGGCCAAACAAATGTGCCTCCTGGCTGGGGTTGGCTCCGGGCATGCCTCCCAGTAATTTCCACTTGAAGGAATGTTCTGTCTTGTGTTTTAGAGTCGAGAAGGGCACAGCTCTCGGGTGAGTGCCCTCAATGTGCACAGTACGGGCCACTAGACATATTTTGGCCTTTAGTCCTGCTTCTTAACCAAGCAGCTCAGGTTCAACCCCTTCTTTGGGGTCTTACGGATCCTTTTGGAACCCAACCCCCCTGCAGGCTCCACTACCAGCTACAAACATGATAGAGCAGTTGTCCAGGGTGGGAGGTACATGATTTTGTGCTTCAGGGGGACATTTAGCAATGTCTCAAGACAGTTTTTGTTGTCACAGTTCAGAGATGGGGTGCTCCTGCACCTGGTAGGTCGAGGTCAGTGTTGCTGCCCAGTATTCCACAGTGCACAGATCATTCCACAACAAGGAATTATCCAGCACAAAATGTCAACAGCGCTGAGGTTGAGAAGCTCTAGAGTACAGGAACCTGTGGCTTAACTGCTCTAACAGAACCTCAGGGAGGTGGGTGAATCTCTTTGACCTGAGATCAATTTCTACCTGAATATAGGCAAAGCTGAAAATGGCTGAGGTTTTCTCCCCGTTACTTTCATGAACCCCCCTGTCCAGAATTGAATGTACACTGTTTACTTAGGATACACTCATAGAAATCAAATTGTACCGTCAAACGAAGGGTTAGTACTTTCAAAAGGCTCTTGCTATATACATTGTCAGAATGCCTTCCAGAACGGTGATGTCAACTTACACTTCTCTCACCAGGGCATGAGATTCTGTCTCACTGCGTCCTTGCAGGCAATGGATGTTCTAATGCTTCAGATCTTTACTGATTAGGAAGGTCAAAATGCTGGTGTGGGGGGTTAAATAACCCACATCCCGTTCCACCCGTCCCTCATTTCTCACCTCCTACCCGCTCCTGACTCTATCCTCCCTCCTGAGCCTACATTCTCCTTGAGTGAGCAGATCTTTTCCTGGTTCTGCAGGTTTTCACTTCTCCAGCCTCAGCCAGACATAACCCTGTCTGGTGGATTTTAGGACCGGACGAGGTCTGCCTTTGGTAGAGAAACAAATAGGAATGAAGCGTGGGTGTGTCTGGCTGCAGGACTCAGGGCTCTCCCTGGGAACTGGGGCCCCAGACTTACCTTTCCTTTATCTCCTGGACCTCAGCACCTGGTGACCCACAGCCACCCCAAGTCCCTCAAATCTGAACTCAGCCTTCTGCCCCAATCATGTTTATCCTCCTGTGACGATCCCTGTCTTGGGTACCATGATCTACCTGGCCTTCCAAGACAGAAATCTGGGGGTTCCCCCTGACACCACCCACTCCCACCCCCCATATGTGATAAATTATCCTATGTCTAATTAATTAATTGATGAATGGCCTGGCCGTTTAGCCTTCCAAATTTCAGGCAGGCTAACTTTTTTTAAGGTTGTAAGAGACAGAAGCCCATCTTCAGTGACCATAAGCAGAGAAAGGGATCGTTGGCTTATGGAATTGAGAAGCCCATAGAGCAGGTCTGGCTGCTATAGTGGCTGAGTCCAGAGATTCAAAAGATGGCTCTGGGGATCCCTCTCACTGGATCACATTCTACTTTCCTCTGTGATTCCCTAGTGTCCAGGAGGTACCTCCAGCCTGGTGGAAAAGATGCCCTTGGCATGTCCAGCCTTCCATGCTTCTTCCAGCCAATGGTCCAGCCTTCTTTTCTTTCGAGACAGAGCCTCACTCTGTCACCCAAGCTGGAGTGCAGTGGCACAGTCTTGGCTCACTGCAAACTCCATCTCCAGGGTTCAAGTGATTCTCCTGCCTCTGCTTCTTGAGTAGCTGGGATTACAGGTATGCACTGCCATGCCTGGCTAAGTTTTGTATTTATTTTAGCAGAGATGGGGTTTCGCTTTGTTGGCCAGGCTGGTCTTGAACTCCTGACCTCAGGTGATCCGCCCGCCTCAGCCTCCCAAAATGCTAGGATTATAGGCATGAGCCCCCGAGCCTGGCCCCAGCCTGCTAATCAGCCCCCATAAGGAATCTAACTGACCCTGATTGTGTCATGTGCTCTTTTTGAAGTCAATCATATGCAGAATATGGGACACTCTGATAGCCACATGAGTCACGAACCTGCCTTAGGACCAAGGTGGGTCCAGCTCTATACCAACCCCTTCAGTATTACTTGGAGTAGTTTCTCAAAGGACATAAAGGCAGCACATATCCATGACATTATCTTTTCTGACAGCTTTTCTCCTCCCCCTCTCTGCTGTCACAACCCCACCCTCTCACACTGGGATCATTGTGAACACCTCCAAACTGCGATCTCTGCCCCAGCAGGCACACTCCCCATCACACCCAGGCCCCTCGGCCCTCAGGAGACTCTCTGACTATGAGTGTACCTGGAGGTCCCTGAATCCTGCTTGCTAGGGAATGTTTGGAAGGAAAGATTCTTTAAATCTGAAGAAACCTTCTGTTCACAGATGAAGGAGCAGGCATTGAGGAGCAGCTGTGTCACCAGGGTGAAGGGTGAGGGACAGGCCTGCCCGGTCCTGGCCCTTGTGTACTTCACACACCCTCGGGCTCCTGGTTCCTCCTCTCTCTGTTGTCTAATTTATGGGATGCCATGGGCAGCGTGGGAACATACCTCATGGGTTTGGCTTGGGAATAAAAACCATGGCCAGGTGTGGTGGCTCACGCCTGTAATCCCAGCACTTTGGGAGACTGAGGCAGGTGATCACCTAAGGTCAGGAGTTAGAAACCATCCTGGCCAACATGATGAAACCCCATCTCCACTGAAATACAAGAATTAGCTAGGTATGGTGGCACACTACCTTCCGAGCAGTAATCCCAACTACTTGGGAGGCTGAGACAGGAGAATTGCTTGAACCTGGGAGGTGGAGGTTGCAGTGAGCTGAGATCGCACTCCAGCCTGAGTGACAGAGTAAGACTTCTGTCTAAAAAAAAAAAAAAAAGAAGAAGAAGAAGAAAGAAAAAAGAATACAAAAAAAAAAAAAACCAGCCAAGACTGCCCACCTGGTCCTGTCCCCTGTGACCTTTCCTAACGGCGAGATCCCTTTGCGTTTCAGCAGGAGGATGCCGGCGTGCATAATGTCATCCTGTGGCCTCCAGACCCTGAGCCCCCACAGGTACTGGGGAATGTGCGTTCTGCATGGCTTCCCTCTAGCCCCTTTCTAACGCCTAGATGGTTGCAAATATTTGGTGTGGCATGTGCTTTTATATATTTAGGTTTTCTCCTCCTCCCTCTTCCATTGCTTCCTTCCATCCATCCCAAATAAGTTGTAAAACACAGTTGAAATTGACAATTTATGTTTAGATTTTTTAGGATAGCATTTTAGTACCTGTCCAAGACTGGCTTGGTTGACGTGTTTTGCGATGCTGAATAAGGCTTGTGTTGCCAGCAGAAACGAACGCAGATGCTAGGAACCAATACTAATGCCTCCAAACTCTTCTGCCTTGATTTCCTTTGGCCTCCAGTGAAGCTGGGGATGGATTGGTGGCCCCACATTTGCTGCCTGTGAGCAAAACCGATCTGTCGTAAAAGAAGATGAAATTCAGAATCAGCGGTCAGTGGGGTGCAACAGTGTGCCAGCTGAGTCCCGCTGCTGTAGCTCTGCCCAGTGTTTGCCATCCTCTGGGGAAGGGGGTAAATAAGGAGCTTTGCATTACCTCGCAGTGGTTTTTCCTGGAGAGGACGTTGAGGTTAGTGTGTGTTCACAGGTGTGGTCAGGGTGAGGCTGTAAAACCCCTGGCTCCTCACTGGCCCGCTCTGAAGTCCCCTTCACACCTGGCCAGGTATGGCAGTCATCCAGGTGGATGGCTGTTAGGTGGGTGCGCTGGATACATTTTTTTCTTTGCACATCCCAGCAAGGAGTGATGTTTAAGGCCGTGAAATAACCATTTGCATAGGGTGTTGGGAAGCCTTTTCACGTGTGTGAGTTCATCTGCTTCTGCTCATAATCCCATGAGCTGGGCTGATGACTCATGTTTTGTGAACACAGAAGGAGGCTTGGAAGGTGAATCATCCCAGGTCATTTGGGTGAGTGGGGGAGTGAGAATCAGAACCCTGGGTCTCTAAGGCTGCTAGGCCAGTGGTTTCCAAACTGGGTTCCAGGAAATCCTGGAGCCAATAGCAATGCTTCTAGGACTGGCCCAGGACAAAGAGGAAGTGGAGAGGGCAGAATCCAGCTTTCTGCCCCCCCACCTTCCACCAGGACGGCTTACCCTATGTGACTTTATATTGCAAGGTGGCTTTTAGAAGAAAATGTTTTGGAATCAGAGTTGGAAAGAAACACTCATCTGGTCCACCTCCATTATTTTTCAGTTTTGTGCATGGTGGATCCGGAGGACAAGGCACTTGCTCATTGCCATAAATGAGCGGCAGGTTGGAGACAAAATGTCATCTTGGGGGATTCTAGTCCAGGCTCCAGGGGTGTCCCTGTGAGGGGAGGAGCACTTTGTCCAGCTCCATCTCCCAGAGGTCTTCCGTAGCGCTTTGCAGCAGAGCTCAAGAGCTCAGTCACAAGCTCCCATGCCAAGATGTGATGTGGATATAGTTTTTTTATTAGCTTGGTGGGCATTTAGGAAGCCCCTCCTTGCTGGGCAGCTGGTACTTATTTAGGTGCTGTGACAAACAAGGGCCCTGCCCTCTGGAACTTATAGCCAACTGGAAAGTCAGATAAGCAAGTGAATAGACAGACATCAGAGAGTAACTACAGTGCTTTCATTTGAAACTTTATGGTGTGTGTATTGTTTACCAGGCATTGTTCTAGCACTTGAGAATCAGCAGTGAACAATTCACCTTTGATCTGCTTAAATGAAGTTTCCTTATGAGGTGCTGATAGGCAGAAAACACATCATGAAATTTCCAGTGGTAACCGGGTTCAGGGGCTGTCTTTTATTGTTGCAGTAAACTATGTGTAAGTAAGATTTACCATTATAACCATTTTCAGTGGACATGTCAGTGGAATTAGGTACATCAGTACCTTGCTGTGCATCCATCACCACCATCCAACTCCAGAACCTTTTCATCTTCCCAAACGGAAACTCTGCCCATTACACGCCAACTCCCCATTCTCCCTCTCCCCAGCCCCTGGGAAACTTTCTTTCCTTCCTTTCCTCCTTCCCTCCTTCTTTCCTTCTGACTGGGTCTTATTCTATTGCTGAGGCTGGAGTGCAGTAGTGCGATCAAAGTTCACTGCAACCTCCAACTCCTGGGCTCAATCAATCCTTCCTCCTAAGCCTCCCAAGTAGCCAGTATTAGAGACACGCGCTACTGTAGCCGGCTGCTTTGTCTGTGAATTTGACTACTGTAGGTACCTCGTGTAAGTGGAATCATATAGTATTCGTATGTGATTATTATTTCACTTTGCGACTGGCTTATTTCACTAAGCATAATGTCCTCAAGGTCCACCCATGTTGCTGCATGTCAGAATTTCCTTCTCTGTAAGGCCGAATGATATTCTATTGTATGTATAGACTACATTTTGCTAATCCATTTTTTTGAGAGTCTCGCTCTCACCCAGGCTGGAGTGCAGTGGCCGTGATCTCTGCTCACTGCAACCCCCTCCTCCTCAGTTCAAGTGATTCTCATGCCTCAGCCTCCCGAGCAGCTGGGATCACAGGCACACATCGGCACACCCGACTAGTTTTTGTATTTTTAGTAGATGGACACTTGGGTTGCTGCCATATTTTGACTATTGTGAATAATGCTGTGATGAATATGTTTGTCCGTGTTAGTATCTACGTCTGTGCTTCCTGTTCTTTTGGGTATATACCTAGAAGTGGAATTGCTAGATCATACGATAATTCTATGTGTATGTTTGTGAGAAACCACTAAACCTTTCCACAGCAGCTACACCATTCTACATTTCCAATAGCAGTGTAGGAATGTTCCAATTTCTCTACATCCTTGTTACTTTCTGTGTGTGTGTTTAATTACATGTTCGTGGGTGTGAAGTAGTATGTCATTGTGGTTGGGGCTATTTTTGATGAAGTACAGGGGAGAGCTCTCTGCAGAGACCTGGGGTACTGAGAAGGAGACAGCCACATAAGGTTCTGGCGAAGGAACATTCTGGAATAAGGAAACAGCTGTGTATAGTATAGGAATAGTGTAACAGTATGGGAGGAATGAGGTTGCTGGACTTTTTTTTTTTGAGACGGAGTCTTAGGCTTGAGTGCAGTGGCACAATTTGGCCTGAGTTCAGGCTTGAGTGCAGTGATACAACTTGGCTCACCGCAACCTCCGCCTCGCAGGTTCAAGTGATTCTCTTGCCTCAGCCTCCCGAATGGCTGGGACTACAGGTGTGTGCCACTATGCCCAGCTAATTGTTGTATCTTTAGTAGAGACAGGGTTTCACTGTGTTAGCCAGGATGGTCTAGATCACCTGACCTCGTGATCCACCCACCTTGGCCTCCCAAAGTGCTGGGATTACAGGCGTGAGCCACCACTCCAGCTGCTTGCTGTACTTTAAGATCAGCAAAGAAGGCCAGCATGGCTAGAGACAAGTGGATGAGGGAAATTATGGTGAGCTGTGCAGCCAGGGGGGTGGGTGAGGGCTCATTTTTGTAGGTCCGGACCAGCCCTGGTAAGGAGTCTGGCTTTCTTCTAGTTGCGGTACAAAGGCATGGTGATATAAGAGTATTTCACTGGAAATTGAGCCTGTATGCTCACTCACCTTGGGGGTGAGACTCCAGCAGTCAGGGCTCCCTAAGGAGGAAGCAGAGCAGCTGATGGTGAACTTGTGCCCAGCTCTGTCTGGGCTCAGCAGACTTGAGACTCAGCACTCAGCCAGGCCGAGCTCCCCATAACTGGCCAGTGGGTAACTGACAAGTGAAGGACTTATAAAAACCAACCGACCACACTTCCTTTTTACACTCTGGCTTTTGCTTTGTTGAGTCCCCGTGGCTTGTTCAGGAAGATGGTCTTTGAGCCTTTGCAGGGGCTGCAGGCCCTCATGCATCCCCATCCATGTGAGTACATCTCCACTGCCTCAAGCTCAGGGTCTCAGGTTATTCATTGCAGCTCAATAGTCACGGTGCCTGAGTCTTTCTCTTGTCCACATGGTCAAGGGGCTGAGCACCTCAGCTGTGTTTGGCTCATTATTCTGGATGGGGCTAAGGTCCTGGAATAATAGAGATCAAGAAGCTTGGGAGGCCAGAGGCTCCGAGGTGAAGCTTTTTGTAGGTTTTTGTGGCTTTTTTTTGTTTGTTTTTATAGGAGATACCTTGGAGAGTAAAAGGAGTGCACTCAGTAGCACTGTAACGAAACACAGCTTTAGTCACTCGCCACTTGTGGAGTCAATTAACAAGAACTACAGACGTTTGAGACAAGCTTGTGCAACATAGCAAGATACCTGTCTCTGCTAAAAATACAAAAAATTAGCAGGGCATGGTGGCATGCACCTGTTGGCCCAGCTATTCAGGAGGCTGAAGTGGGAGGATTGCTTCAGCCCTGGGGGAAGCAGGAGCAGAGGTCGCAGTGAGCCAAGATTGCACCACTGCACTTCAGCCTGGGTGACAGAGTGAGACCTTGTCTAAAAAAACAAACAAACACACACACAAACCAAAACACAAGAGTGAGGGCTGACATGAAAAAAGTCATGTTTTTTGGCCAGGCACGGTGGCTCACATCTGTAATGCCAGCACTTTGGGAGGCTGAGGTGGGTGGATCACAAGGTCAGGAGTTCAAGACCAGCCTGGCTAGCATGGTGAAACCCTGTCTCTACAAAAAATTAGCCAGGCATGGTGGCGTACACCTGTAGTCCCAGCTACTCAGGTGGCTGAGGCAGGAGAATTGCTTGAACCAGGGAGGTGGAGGTTGCAGTGAGCTGAGATTGTGCCACTGCACTCCAGCCCGGATGAAAGAGCGAGACTGCGTCTCAAAAAAAAAAAAAAAGAAAAGAAAAAAGTGACTTTTTATTCCAAAGCTTAGCTTAGGGGAAAATGGACAGGTTTCTGCTTTTAAGGGTACTGCTTTGCTTTTGGGGCAGAAAGCAGGGACTTTTAAAGGGGGACTTTGCATGTACAGCAGGCAGGGAGGGAGTGGGCAGGTGGGGAATGACAACTTGCTTCAGTGCCTTACCCACCAGGTGGTCCAGCTGACACAAAACTAGGTTCTAAGGTAGCCGTTGTCTTGAGATAATCTCCAGGTGGATTGGAGTTCCGTTGTGTGTGTACTTGAGGTTGGAAATTGACAGTTGTCTCTTGAGACAAACTCCTGGGTCTGGAGCTTCTAAGTGAGCGCATAGTCAGATAAGCTTGTCCTATAGGTAGCTTCCGGTGAAGGGAAGGTCAAGGTTATAATTGCATTTCTAAAGAGCTAAGTAGGAAGTGAGGAACATGAGAAAAGGAGGAGAGAGAAAATAAGAAAACATCAGAATTAAGAAAAACCCTTTTCTTCCTCTTAGAAAAATGGGGAACTCAGTTACATCATCATAGCATTAAAGGGACACTGGGTTTTGCAGGTGGGGAGAAGTGAAATGGCTTAGAAAGAACATTGTGGGGCACAAGGTTCCTGACCCTGTTTTGTGTTTTTTGCTTTTCTCTGTTTTGAAACGAAGTCTCACTGTCACCCAGGCTGGAGTGCAACAGTGCAATCTTGGCTCACTGAAACCTCTGCTTCCCAGGTTCAAGCGATTCTCTTGTCTCAGCCTCTCGAGTAGCTGGGATTACAGGCATGTGCCACCATGCCAGGCTAATTTTTGTATTTTTAATAGAGATGGGGTTTCACTATGTTGGCCATGCTGCTCCCGAACTCCTGACCGGAGGTGATCTGCTCACCTTGACCTCCCAAAGTACTAGGATTACAGGTGTGAGCCTCTGCGCCTGGCCTCCTGACTGTTTTGAAGCCATGATCTTCGGGGCTTTTGGAAGGAAAATCAGCCTCCCCTTGAGAGGGTCAGAACCTGGTGGGTTCTCAGAGGGCAGCCAGCGTGGGTAGGGTGGGAAGGCTAAGGGTCTGTTCTGTGATGATCCCGGGATATGAGGGTTCAGGCTGCTGATCTGAGTGCAGAAAAAGGCGTGGGAATTGGAAAGTGGGAGTGGAGATAAGGTCAGATGAGGCAGCAGGTATATGGGGCAACCTGAGATGCAGAATTGGGGGACAGCAGGTGACTGGGGGGACTCGGCCTTCATGCAGACCAAGGGAGGCAGGGAGGCAAGCGAAGTAGGACCATTCCTCAGAGCCTCTAGGCAGTGGGCCAGCAGTTTATTTCAACAGTATTTGCTTTTTGCATTTTGTGACAACAATTAATTGTTGCATTAATTACAAAGTGATTTACCTTATTCAAGAAGTCAATTTTGGCTGGGTGCAGTGGCTCACGCCTGTAATCCCAGCAATTTGGGAGGCTGAGGCCAGCAGATCACTAGGTCAGGAGATTGAGACCATCCTAACATGGTGAAACCACGTCTTTACTAAAAATACAAAAAAGTTAGCCAGGCGTGTGTGGCACATGCCTATGATCCCAGCTAGTGGGGAGGCTGAGGCAGGAGAATTGCTTGAAACTGGGAGGCAGAGGTTGCAGTGAGCAGAGATCGTGCTATTGCACTCCAGCCTGAGTGACAGAGTAAGACTCCATCTCAAAAAAAAAAAAAGTCAATTTTAATAACATCACCTTAGATACCTGCTGACCAGTCACAGTGATTTCTTGTTTTGTCAGCACAAATGCTACTGAAACTCTGAATTTCAGTGGTAGCCTTGGGTTCTGTTCTCTGTTCCTGAGGGAAGAGAAGCCATGGAGGAGGAAGATTCCCACACTCAGCCTGAAGCCTGTTCTATCTGCTAATTGAAGGATCCTCTTACTGAGCTGGGGCCATGGAGCCTCAGCCCCGCCTGCCTGTGGGTGCCTTTTGCAGCAAGCTGAGTCCTTCTTGTTACTCTTGCTCCTTCCTTCGGGAATGGACTCACTTAGATCTCCTGGGAGGCTGTTCTCAGGGGGCTCCAAGCAGCTTCGGAGACTAAAGCACACTTGGCCAGGTGGTGTATTGCACCAAATGATGGTTGGAAATGAAGAGAAAGCCACAGGTATAACCAAGGCTCTGGAGGGGAACTAATTTAGGGGCGGGAGGAAACGGTCCAATGTGAAGTTGGGAGAATGTCTAATACCCAGCCAAGGGCAGCAGCACCTGTCCCCAGGAGGGTCAGGGTCCTGGCTTACATGTGTCCCTCTCTGGGAAAGAACTGGTGGTGACACTGTGATGAGAGCTGTCCCCACTTGACAGCCCTTCCTGGGGTTTCATGCATTATGACTTGTGTAGAAAGCTCTTTGGCCAGGCGCAATGACTCACGCCTATAATCCCAGCACTTTAGGAGGCCAAGGTGGAAGGATCGTGAGGTCAGGAGATCAAGACCTTCCTGGCTAACATGGTGAAACCCTGTCTCTACTAAAAATACAAAAAATTAGCTGGGCATGGTGGCACACACCTGTAGTCCCAGTTACATGGGCGGCTGAGGCAAGAGAATCACTTGAACCTGGGAGGTGGAGGTTTCAGTGAGTCGAGATTGTGCCACTGCACTTCAGCTTGGTGACAAAGCAAGACTCCGTCTGAAAAAAAAAAAAAAAGAAAGCTCTATGGTGAAATGAGGGCCATGCCAGCCCACAGCCCCAAATCCCTAAGGTAGGCTTCACAGTTGTTCAGTTCTGGAGACCCTACAGGGGACACCCAAGCTCCAAGCTCCAAGCACGTGTTTTTCATAGGGGAAGGACAACCCTAATCCCTATAGTACCACTTTCTAGACTTCCCCTTGGCCATGGGGCTGTCATGATTCCCATTTATGGCTCTGACCCTGTGGGGAGGAATAAAAGACATTCAATCCAATTATTATAATGATCTGACTTAAAAACAGGTCATCATTTGGGTAACTCCATTCCGACATTTCTATTTTCTGGGTGTTTCTGTAGCAAGTACCAAAAAATATAATTTTCAACTATAGAAACTGTGATCAATGCTATGCAGCAAGAAGACAGGTGCATAGACCCCAGACCTAGCCGGGGTGTCAGGGAAGGCGCTCCTGGGAGCTGATGTTTGAGCTCAGAGCTGCAGATGAGCAGGAAGGAGGCAACATCAGAGGGACCTAGAGCCAGCTCAGCAGGCACGCCTCCCCCAGCCTGGGCAGGTCTCCCAGGTTGGGTCCCTGCTCTGTGTATAGATGTGGCCTGGGTAAGGTTTGCTCCTAAAGGGGACCTCAGCACTATGGACCTCTGAGGAACAGAGGACCAGGACAGGAGAATCTGTGTGTGCAAGTCGTCCCCAGGGTCAGGTCATCACAAAAGGCTGAGGTTGTCCATTGCTCAGGCCCCATGTGGTTATTGTTACTTTGCTTGACAGAGGAAAGCCCCAAATGAATGTGCACATCTTGTTTAAAGCTATGCTTGGTGCTCTAGGGTTACTCGAAGGTCGCTTATTTAGTTCTTGAGGAACTCAAGGAGCTCAACGTTACAGCAGCACCAGTCAGCCCAGGATAGGCAGCATTTCCCAACATTCCACAGGCAGCAGGGGGCATCTGGGCTACTTTAACTGTGTTGAATGGGAAAGAAGTTGAGCAAAGAGCAAATTAAACAGCAAGAATTAATTCAATCTTTATGACAGTAGAGAGTTTCTTTCCTTTTCTTTCTTTCTTTTTTTTTTTTTTTTTTTTTTGGTGACAGAGTCCTGCTCTGTCGCTCAGGCTGGAGTTCAATGGTGCAATCTTGGCTCACTGCAACCTCCACCTCTCAGGTTCAAGCGATTCTCCTTTCTCAGCCTCCCAAGTAGCTGGGATTACAGGCACATGCTGCCACTCCTGGCTAATTTTTTGTATTTTAGTGGAGACAGGGTTTCACTGTGTTGCCCAGGCTAGTCTCGAACTCTGAGCTTAGGCAATCCACCCGCCTTGGCCTCCCAAAGTGCTAGGGTTACAGGCATGAGCCATTGCAGCTGAGTTTCTTTACTGCTCTCACAGCCTCTGCTCTGAGGTTCCCCCAGCTGGGAGGGTGGGTGCTAGTTTTCACTCCAGTGGCTGAACAGCATGGCTCCAGGTTTTGGCCAGATGCATCATCTGAACAAATGTGTAAAATGTTAAGTTTAGGAGGAGTGATGGAACTGAACTTCTGTTCTTTTTTTATTTTTTTGAGACAGAGTCTCACTCTGTTGCCTAGGTTGGAGTTCAGTGGCGAAATCTCGGCTCACTACAACCTCCACCTCCCAGGTTCAAGCGATTCTCCTGCCTCAGCCTCTCAAGTAGCTGGAATTACAGGCCCCTGCCACCATGCCCAGCTAATTTTTGTATTTTTAGTAGAGAGGAGGTTTCATCATGTTGGCCAGGCTGGTCTCGAACTCCTGACCTCAAGTGATCCACCCACCTTGGCCTCCCGAAGTGCTAGGATTACAGGTTTTAGCACACTGCACCCAGCCTGAACTTCTGATTAACTGCTTTTGTTCTAAGCTGAGATAGCCACTGGGGCTCATCGTTAAGGAGTTTTGAATCTATTTCTTCTTTATACAATAATAACCAGCATGTACAATGTCTATGATGGTCTAGCCTTGTCCTTCATTTAACCTTCAGAAGAACCCTGCAGTTATGATCCCCACTCTACAGATACGGCACTGGAGGTGTAGAACTCAAAGACTTACAGCTAAATAAGCGTAAAGCTTGGGTTTCAGGACTACTGCCTCCTGCCTGCTCATTCTTAAACCAAACCTCTTGCCGCTCTAGCATGAAAACGAATGGATACAGGGATTCTAGAGGGGCAAAAAAATAAGGCTTATGTCTGTACCTTATGTATAATCAAAGAAACATCACAACACAGTATAGGCCATCCTGACACGCCCAGCTCTTTGCATAAAGAGACTCTCCCTTCTATTTGTACAGTTCTTGTTTGCAAGGTATTCCTGTCACCCACTGAGGTAGGGAACGGCAGAGATTGTGGCCCCCAGTTTATGGATGGAGAGAGAGAGGCTTGGAGAGGGGAACTGATCTGACCAAGGGCACATGGATTTAGGCTTTCTGACCTCGCCCAACTCTCTTTAAATCATACTGTTTCTAAAATATTAAATACATACAGGTCATCAATATGGGGCATGTTTTTTTTTTTTTAGATGGAGTTTTGCTCCTGTTACCCAGGCTGGAGTGCAATGGCGCGATCTCGGCTCACCGCAACCTCTGCCTCCTGGGTTCAGGCAATTCTCCTGCCTCAGCCTTCTGAGTAGCTGGGATTACAGGCACGCGCCACCATGCCCAGCTAATTTTTTGTATTTTTAGTAGAAATGGGGTTTCACCATGTTGACCAGGATGGTCTCGATCTCTTGACCTCGTGATCCACCCACCTCGGCCTCCCAAAGTGCTGGGATTACAGGCTTGAGCCACGGCGCCCAGCCCTATGGGGCGTGTTTTTAAAGCCTCAAAGCTTTCCCTTTCCCCTACAGACTGAAGACATCAGAACGTGTCACCTCTTAGATCTTTGAGATTCCTGAGTCCTTTTAGGGTAATGCCCACTGCCTGTGACCCAAATGCTTTTGAGGAAGGGAAGGTAGATTTGTTTATTACATATCACTCATTCATTCACAATATTCAAAATTCCACAAGGGTAGTAGGAACTATGACTCTCTTTTTAAATTAAGCTTTTTACTTTATGTATGTATGTATGTATTTTTCAGACAGAGTCTCACTCTGTTGCCCAGACCGAAGTGTAGTGTGTGATTTTGGCTTACTGCAACCTCCACCTCCCAGGTTCAAGCTATTCTTATGTTTCAGCCTCCCAAGTAGCTGGGACTATAGGTGCCCACCACTATGCCTGGCTAGTTTTGGTATTTATAATAGAGACAAGGTTTTACCATGTTGGTGAGGCTGGTTTCAAACTGCTGACCTCAAGTGATCTGCCTGCTTCAGCCTTCCAAAGTGTTGGGATTACAGGTGTGAGCCACCATGCCTGGCCAACTTCTTAGAATATTTTCAGATTTGGCTGGGCGCGGTGGCTCACGCCGGTAATCCCAGCACTTTGGGAGGCCGAGGAAGGCAGATCACAAGGTCAGGAGTTTGAGACCAGCCTTGACCAATGTGGTAAAACCCTGTCTCTACTAAAAATACAAAAATTAGCCCAGTGTGGTGGCGTGTACCTGTAATCCCAGCTACTCAAGAGGCTGAGGCAGGAGAATTGCTTGCACCTAGAGGGGGCGGAGGTTGTAGTGAGTTGAGATTGCATCACTGCACCTAACCTGGGCAACAGAGCAAGACTCTGTCTCAAAAAAAAAAAAAAAGAAAAAAGAATATTTTCAGATTTACAGAAAAGTTGCAATGATTGTACAGAGAACTCCCATACAGATGCTTCCCCAGCTTCTCCTAAAGTTAACGTTTTACACCCTGCCTGCTTTAGTCATCAGAGTCTACCCCGAACCTAGGCTCAGCCTTTACTATTCATGAGGCATAAGCATCAAAATCACACGTCAAACTCTATTCTGTTATTCTGCGTCATTTAAAGGAAGGGCGAGGACCCAAACCCAGCGCTCTCTGATTTGGAAGCTCACTCATTTCTTCTGCTCTATCACGCTGCATCACATCAGAAAACATTCCGTTTGTGGAAAGCTGAAGTTCCACCCTGACGGCCTTTCGCTTGTTGGCCTGACAGAGTACCTGCTAGGTTAGGCTGAGGGGTCCTTTGCAAACTGTATTCACCAATGTTTTGTGCCGCCTTGGAGGTGAAGAAACATTTGGGATGATGTAGCAGCACTGGTGTGAGCATTTGCCTCCCCTTGACAGGGAAGACGGGCAGCCTGCTGGCTCGAGCGCAGAGCATGTGTTCATCCTCCATATTTGGCCAGCCTGGCAGTTGTTTCTGAAATTCAATTCCTAATGCCATGGGGATGACCTCTGGTCCACTTCCCAGCATTCACCTGCAGTCACGCTGCTCCCAAGGAGCTTGTTCAAAGAGGGGGCAACTTGAGGAGACACTCTGGCCATGATATAACCAGGTCAGTTAAGCATGGTTTAATTAAGGCTGTTGGCATGACCAGTAAGCTGTGGTCTGTCTAGAGTGATGAAGCATTTAAGAGGTAAGTGGAATTATTTTTTTTTTTTGATGGTGAAATACTTTAGCTCCTTCCAAAGCATATTTTTTAGGACTGGAAAATTGCTGTAACTGTTTAAAGATTGCTTTAAAATAGACTCCAGGCTCTGGAGTGTTCCAGAGCCAACGGAAGACTTTGTTTACTCAAGCAATGGCAGCAAAGGAAAGATCTGAAGAAGCAACTGGGCGAGTCCACGTGTCCTGCGAGGCTTGCCAATTGTTTTTCCAGCCTGCGATTTGGAAGTGGAAAGGGTAACTTTAGAAACGCATGCTGTTTTGCAGGGATGCCTGTTGACACACAGGTCCTTTGGAATCCAGTAAGCAGTAGAGCTTAAGACATTGCTAAGGATGGGGAACAGGAAGGGGAGATTCAAAGACACTAGGGAATGTGGCAAAAGCGAGAGCTCCAAGGGCTGAGGGTGGGTCCTTCAGTTTGCAGACGTGGCCACCAGACTAAATAAGAATAACCTATTTTTCATACATTCAACAAATATTTATGGACT